CCCCGCCCCGCCCCGCCGCGCCCAGCCCAGCACCGGGGGACCGGCGCCCAGCCTCGCCACCGCCGCGGGGGGACCGGGCAGCAACCGCGAGGGGACATTTCTAGCAGGTAGAGAGCAGCGCAGCCTCTGCCGAGCCCAGAGCAGCAGGCGGGGACCTGCCCCGCATCGCCTCACGGCGGGACGGTGGCAGCCTGTGGAGAGTCCCGTCCCCTCCAGCACAGTACAAACCCCTACACTTGCACCGGGGTGGGAGGTCTGCTTGTTTGCATTGGGGTGTGTGTGTACCTGTAGGCACAGTGACAGGTGTGTGTGTCTATCTGTTTACTAGACACACGCACACACCTGTCACTGTGCAAACAGCTAGACAGACGCACACCAATGCAGTTTGCAGTGACAGATGTGTGTGCATCTACCTGTTTGCAGAGTGCCAGGCGCGTGCGCGCGTGCGTGCGTGCGTGTGTCTATTTGCACAGTGATAGAGGAAAAGACCTCCTTTGCCTTGGAGAGTTTATAGTCCAAACAGGTGGGGTCAAGTCACATCTGTGATGGGGGACACTCAAGAAAATTAGGTTGAATTAATTTTTTTTTTAAGTGGGTTAGTTGAACTATGCTAAAGCCCTGTTCTGTTCTCTTACTCCAAATGCAAGTGCCCCTAATTTGATTCTGTTTACTTCATTTTTCAGCATGAATTAAGCTAAATTAAATGGCATTCTGAATAAAAGTAGGAACAGACACACAAATGGCATATCACAACAAGGTAAAGTAGAGAAGTAGCTCTAAGTGGGGACCTACAGCAATGGCAGGTACTGGCCCCTGCCTGGAGGCATGCTCTTACCTTGCACTATCTGAAGGTACCTGCTGGAGCTTCTCTCTCTCTTGCCGCAGTCTAAATGAAGGTCAATCAAATTAAGGCTACATCAGTTCTGAAAAAAACCACAGTCTAACACATCAACTAAGGGTGCAAGTTTTAAGTGAATTCAGAATGAATGTCCCCGAGTGGTCCTGCACTGACAAGCCCTTGCAGGTCAGTATTAGAATCATAGAAAATTAGGGTCGGCAAGAGGCTGCATCTAGTCCAAGCCCCTGCTCAAAGCAGAACCATCCCCAACTAGATCATCCCAGCCAAGGCTTCATCTACCTGGGTCTTAAAAACTTTCAAGGATGGAGATACCACAATCTCTGTGGGTAACCTGTTCTAGTGCTTTACTACCCTCCTGGTGAGAAAGCTCTTCCCAATATCTAACCTCAACTTCCCGTGCTGCAGCTTGAGCCCATTGCTCCTTGTTCTGTCATCTGCCCCCACTGAGAACAGTGCAGCTCCATCCTCCTTGTAACCAACCTTCAGGTAGTTGAAGGCTGTGATTAAATCCCTTCTTGTCTTCTCTCCTCCAGACCAAATAAGCCCAGTTCTCTCAGCCTCTCTTCAGAAGTCATGTCCCCCAGCCCCCGAACTGTCTTTGTTGCCCTCCACTGGACTCTCTGCAACTTGTCTACATCCCTTCTGTAGCGGGGGGCCCAAAATTGGACACGGTACTCCAGATGTGGCCTCACCAGTGAAGATTAGAAGGGAGGTGATTCTCAAGTGATTCCCTCGATCTGATGGCAGCTCTCCAAGTAATGCAGCCCAGTATGCTGTTAGTGTTTTTGGCAACTAGGGCACACTTGGCTCCTATTCAGCTTATTGGTCCACTGTAAACCCCAAGTCCTTTTCTGCAGAGCTGCTGCCCAGCCAGTCAGCCTCCAGCCTGTACCGGTGCATGGGATTGTTCCACCCTAAGTGCAGGATTTTGCACGTATCCATATTGAACTTTTGGTTCAATCCTTCCATTTGTCAAGGTCTCTTCAAATCCTAGCTGCCCTCCAGTGTAATCTAATACCACTCCTCCCCCAGTTTGGTGTTATCTGCAAACTTGCTGAGGGTGCACTCCATCCCATCTTCCAGATTGTTGATGATCTGTAGTGGAGCTGGAAGTTGCAATCACCTGTCTTTGACACAAGGCCAGGGGTCTTCCTAGTTCCTTTAAAAACATGCTCAGATTTTAGAAAGTTATTTTCAAAAAAGGTGTTAACTGGGGGGGAAAAAAAGCCAAAAACATTTCAAGTTTGTGTTACCACCAGAAAAGTTTAACTAGTCATATTGGAGTACAGCACAGTTACCAGAAAGCAGTGGAGGCAAAAGGACTTAGTGGTTTAAATCAAACAGTGGTTCACAAGCTTGGATGCAACAGGTTTTACACTTAGAAACAAAAACAGGAAGGCTAAAAAACGAGCACCTGCAGCTTGCTTTTGCAGTTCTTAGCCAGTAAGATTCACACAAATGTTGTTATTAGCAAAGGAGAAAACCTAAGGAAAACAAAGTGCTTTGCAACAGCAAGGAAACATCTCAGCAATTTTCCTAATGCTGATTTTATAACCAGTGTCCTGAAAACTGCTCCAAGTCAAAGCTGGCTTCAGGAGGGAAAGTGATGTAACCACTCATTACCAGCAGTGATGTAATCGTGGCTTGGAGGGACAACCCATCCCGACAGTGTATAAATAATGTTCTATATAAGCACCAAGAAGATACAAATAGCTTTAGGAAAGCCTACAACTAGGACAAGTGAGATGAAGTTAGGGAAGACAAACACACCGAGGCTGAACATCAGGGAACATAACATCCAGGAGCTCTGTTTAGGACATGGGAAAGTCTCCAGCTGCTTGGGACACTTTGCTGGGTGAACAAGCAATTACAACATGGACACCGGGGGACATTCCTGCACCAACAGGTGCAGGGACGGAGTAGTTTTGAGCACAGACCTCAGCTCTTGCCAGTTCTGGGAGCTGCAGTTTTTTATTTGGAGGGAAATAAATCCACCCCCTGAATCCCATGTGGTGCTCCCCCTGCTGGCCTCTGCCTGGTTGTCCTGCTAGCCAGTTTGGTAACCACTGATGTGGGACAAGAAATAAGAGCTGGAGATTACTTGGGGGCACCTGAGTGTCTAACTTCCAGGTGTGTTTAAAGCTAATCAGTTACTCCAGATTTACTGTAAAGTTAGCGAATCAAAGATTTTTAGTCCTAACCCCCTGCACAGCCCTACAGAGATAACCTTAGCAAAGAGCACACAGCTCAGCAAATCAAGACGACACTGAGCAAGAGTGCAAGGTTTCCTGCATAAAAGATGTCCCGAAGGTACAGCTTGAGCCCAGCATTCATAATTATTCATGGATTCAGAGCAGCAGCCGGTCATGAAGTGTATCTTCTGCTTAGGAAGCAGAAACAAGAGGGGTCCCTACCAGTTTGCATTGATCATCAGATCAGATCAGATTTATTCAGCACTTAAACAGAAAAAAAAATGAAGCCAGCAGCTGACTCACTCTGAAAAACCTCTCTCCCTGATGTGGTTTTTCTAAGAGGAAAGGTAGAGTTGCTGCTTTTAAAACTACAAATTTTCCTTAAGTAGTTATTGACCAGTCTAGTAAACACTGAGGGCATGACTCCCACTCTTGAACTTTACAATCTCTTCCATAACTGAGACCATGAACCCAATATAACATTTCTTGTGTTTTTTCTTTTGCATTCAAGGCATGGGGGGGAAATGATGACCCTCCCGACTCAATGGCAAAACTCCCAGCAACTTCAAAGAAGTTCGATGAAAACGACAGTCACGTCATGAGTGACCAAATGATGCATTTGCAAATGACTGGTGTGCCCAGTTTGTAGCTGTTTATAGGCATAAATAGTTTTTACTGATGACTCTTAGAGTTCAGCCAGTTTGTTTTTTTTTTCCTTCAGGGAAATTAATTTGAATGACTAGAGTAAATAAGAATTCACCTGACGGAGAGCTGCCTTGAGACTCACGGAGGAGGAGTCAGACATCGGTTCCTTTGATCTGCCGTTGACCTTGGGCAATCTTCTTCCATCCTCTATGTCTCTGATTTCCTCCTCTTGAGCTGCATAACTACACTCTCAGGTAAGATCCTCAGTGCTGTTATTTATGCAAAATATTAGTTGCAGTGAAAAAAGTGATCAAATTGAGTTCCTATATTTAAATGTATTATGACACTCATTGAGAGGAAACAAAATAGTGGGAAAATGTACATATAGCCCATTTAATTGTTAGATACTGGCTGAAGCAAAGAAGAACATTTAGCATTAAAGGCAACTGGGAAAACAAGTCAACCTGTGGAAGGTCCTTCTTACCTACTGATCCATAAACAGTATGTAATGAAAAAAGCAGCAGTGGCCTTTTCATGCAAAGCACCCATCTTAATTGATGATTACTAGTGATCAGCTTGACAAGACCTCAAGACCAAACAAAATGAGCATCACATTCAATTCCATTTTGAATGGTGAGATATGAAGACAGATTTCCCTGTGAACTCCTCTGATATAGTCAAACTGAGAGAGAGAGAGAAATGGAGTTTCTGCTCCCTGGGGAATC